AACGGGGACCCTCAACATTTATGCCATTTTGGAGCAGATCCAACTACGATGGAGAGGTCATTGTCGGATCAAGATGGACGAAGAGAGCCTGTTCAAGCGACTTTATCTCAGATACGTCACTACGGGTGTTCAACAACCTGGGAGACGAAAACGACGTTGCAAAAACGCTCTAAACATTTTTCCCAAAAATTTACGAATCAGCCCGCAGGCCTGACAGGACCTTGGCCAGTATCAATCGGCCTGGGAAGAATAATAAAGTCTGAAACAGCAATCTACGTAGCAAAACCGGCTCTCCGCTGTCAAAAAACGAAAGACCGGCTCGTAAGTATCAAAAGCCGCTGAATCACAGTGTTAAAGCCCATACCCTCCTATCACGCCCCTGCTGCTAACCGACATTTCGCACACAGATCGGCCCTCACGGACGTCCTCGGACCCAAATGAAATAACGGCGAGACTACTCAACCGAGTGCCCTCGCAAACCTCCCTCTTCGGTACACATTCCGCAGAGCCCACGACGACGACGACCACCCCCATCACCATTGGCAAGCACACATCTGACGACCTACCGCTGCGCCGAGGGCGACGAAGATCACCACCTCTCTCTGGCTCCCACCACCACTCCCGACGTCCTGTCGACCACCATTCTCACTAGCATCATCCCTAACGTTGGCAACAGGACTCGATTCTCATCCGTTGTCATTGCGGTCGCACCTCCAAATCATGCATGGGCCCCGACGGTCACATGTGAATTCATCACACTGAAACCGGTGGACCCAAAGCCCCGACATAAACCCACGCACTGTCCACGTACGCCCAGCGAAACAAATCCACGCGCGTTGACGGGCTGTTTTGTCCTACCGGCCACTGGGTCATCGTCGTGATCAGTAAGTCTTCCTCCAATCCTATGCTCGAAGGAAGGGTATAATTCCGTTTTCATAAATTTTTCCAATTCCCGATTAATTTTGGACCCGCTTTACCGTTACACTTGGATTCAGGGTTTCCAAACTACAAGCCGTATATTTTCTGCGTACGGAAGACCACACCTTCTTCTGCGGTAATAAAAGTGAATCATATAGGGTTCATAAATTTTGGCAGTGGATTTGATCCATATTGTTACCTTTACAAGCGACATTGCTAAATGCAGGGATATGACATTTTATGAACGACCATTTCACGGTTTATAAAAGTCCCACAATTAGAAACTTTTTTAAAACCGAATTATGTCCCTCCTACGAGTATCAAATTAAAAGAAGACGTAATTTTCCGCCGAATGTGCAAAAGAATGATTATTTTTATGCATGTTTTCCATGAAATATAATTGGACTTTTAGAGGCATCGAAAATCAATGAGAAAAATGCATGCTACATAAGTGGTCATTTTTTACAGTGTCGTATTTGCGTGCAGCCGGAAGGAAGTTCATTCGAAAGCCGGTAGCCCGAAGTAACTAAAATATTATTGAATTATTTTGCAGGATGACGAGTTTTACAACACTGCTTTATTAATCTTTTCGAAACGAAAACGCATTTCGGAATTTAGGTTGACTTTTCATGAGCTAGCCCACCTACTGCAGTTTGCAAGTAACTTGCGTAGCGGACGTCGCCACTTAGGACGGTAAAGCCGTCAGCAACTGCAAGCATGTGAAACACGCCTCAGGAATCTTAACGTCCATACAAGTGAGTTCTGGCATAGGAAACAAATGCAACTTGCATTTTCGGTCCGCTGGAGGGCACAGCCGCTCACACAAATAAAAACCTTCCTAGCCACGTCTATGTAGTGCCGAACCACGGCATGGGGCTACCGTCTAACACTTGAATCACACCTCCCAGGATCCTTCTTAGGTCTAACGCATATGGGCGTCCAGTTGAGTGTGCACATTTATACGCACTTTTGAACTTGAGAAGACGCGAATCACTATTGAAAGCACTGATAATCATGAAGTATTCAGTGATATTTAAAGAACGATCTGAAACCGGCATAATCTAAAACAAGAGGAATGTGCAAATTAATTTCGCGGAAGAAACGTGCTCTTTATATAGGTAAAATGGCATGTATGTACTGGAAGATGGGCATCCCAAGAAACGTAATTCAAAGAAAAATGAGTCCTTTGGGAAAATGAACAAACTTTATTTCTTAAATTTTTGAGTCTGGTCCCCCAGCTCGTCGTCAGACGTGCAGTAAGTGTGAAGAAACAGTCAAAATTTAAACATGCACAAAAATCGATATAGCTTTGTCAGGGTTGAGGATTGGCCAATGCTGTAGGCTGATGTCACGTCCTGATTGGCTATTACTTTTTCCATTTTTCTTTGAGATTTTTACGCATGACGTCAAGATCGATGCATCGATTGATGCACAAATCATCAGAGTGAATGGCCTCTAGGAATTCTTGGCCTTTCTTATGTGGGCAGGAAACGGCAATGCGTGTTTTATTCCAAGCGAATTTGTGCCCAGTTTCAAGAGTATGCATGACGACTTGGGATAAGTAGTTTCGCCTCTTCACTGCCAGTTGGTGTACATGTAGGCGTGTAGAGGCGGACTTTCCGGCTTTACCACAATATACCGCATTACAAGTGCCACACGGAATCTTAAAAACTACTTATTTTTATCCAAACAGTCAACCCTATTCTTAGAGTGTACAAACCGAATGCGTATCGTAGTCGTCGGTTTGCTTTTTTTGCTTTCTCATGTGTCTTTCAACCAGTTCAGACAAACTTTTGATGTAAGGAAGCGATTACATTTGTCGGGAGTTATTTAAATTTATTAGTCACCATATGAAAACTTTTATCCCTATGGCGTCTCTGCCAGTGAAATCGAGCAAAGTTCTCTTTGCGCTGGTGAATCGTATCTCAGTTAATGCAAAAGCGTAGAAAAGACAATGAGTCCTCAGGGACCTGTTTTGGAATCTATACTCAGAATGTAGGCTGTTGGAAAACCTCCGTATCTCAAATTACACTAATTCCTAAACGATATTTTAATGCACAATTCACTAAAACAACACTGTCAAATGTTGTTCTGTTTGTACTGTCATATTTATTTTGTTTTTCGCGTCGACACACATTCTGTAAATCTCAAATCTAAATTTACTAAACTACAACCATTTTCAGTGTTTTTTAAACTTTGCTTTTTTAAAAAAAATCCAATTCTAAATACCGTTATATGTTAAGTCCTTACAACCTGGGACTCATCACAATGGTTGGATCAACGCTGAAGCGGCAAAACGACGGCGGAAAAGGGAACGACACAAATAGTGGGCCCAAAATTTTTTTAACTGGAGTGTCTATTTCCCTCGCAAACGTTTTCTTGCTGTTCCCGCGAATGAATCAAAAGGCAAACACGGAGGCTCCAGCACACACATACACACAAAGATGCGATTTGCGGTGGAGACAGCGGAAATATTATTTGGACATGTTCTTTCAGCGAACAGAGTGGCAGCTTCACTGTGGACGGTCAACGGAAGTTCGGCTGGATGAAAAAAACTTCGAAGACTGATGCGGCTCTATTTCTTCGTGATATTTAAAAATTCAAATAACTACAGAGCCAGGAAGTGAATACAATGAAGGCAAAAAATGACCAATTTGTCGACAGACATGATCATGGAAGACTGCTAAGGAGCCGAGCTGACGGGTGAAACATGAAAAGGAGGAGGAGGAGGAGGAGGAGGAGAGGGGAAAAAGAATGTTAGAGACGACTTAAAAAGCTGGCTGGGAAAGCGACCGATAACAACAGCATAACGACGTGCAGGGAATGTACTAACTTATAAAATATTAAGCGAAATTCTGCAATGTGTTTTCGACTCGAAAATATTCCTTAAGTAGGATTGTAATATTAATCACTTTGCAGAATAATCCTATGCCAATTCAGTCACTTCGGAAGGCCGGCTTCTCAACGAACTTCTTCTAGGCCGCCGACAAAAATCAAACTCTATAAAAATTCAAATATGCTTCATGGAATAAATGCATAAAAACATTCATTCGTTTACTACTTTGGTAGAAAATTACTCCCTCCTTAAATTTTATGCTTTAAGAAAGGGCATAATTCGGTTTTAGGAAACTTCTCCAATTCCCGAATAA